TTTGGCTTAGAGAGATGGACCTGGCAGGAGAAGAAGGGTTGTGATTCCTTCATACCTAAGAGGGTTACGAACAATGATACCAGATTTTGTTATTGTGGTCTTCCAAAGTTAAATGTAGATGAAAAAGGTTGCACAGTATGCACAAGCAGTGAGATGCAACTAGTCTTCATTTATTTTAAATAACATTGGTGTAATATATATGAAGAGATGCTGGATTGTTATTTTCCAGTGCTGTAATTTGATTTTGATCATGTGCTATATGTTCAAAGGAACATCCCAGCTCCTGTTATATATTATTATAAATAAGAAATGGAATCAATATTTAAAAATAGAAACAATGTCAATATTAGAAAGGGAAAAACCATTAGTTATACATTGTAAACTTTTAACAGTGTGATTCTTCAATATAAGTTCAGCAATAATTCACAACAATATCAACTACAATTAGCATTGTAAAAAAATTTAATATTTACTCTGCATAACTAATAGTCTACATCTAATGTTGTGGCACACCATCCATGTTCCAGTAGCCATAGTGAAATTTGACTCAGAACTTCCTTTTCCTTATGAAATTTCAACTCCTTTACTTCAATCGGCACTAAATGTTGTACGACTCTTCTTAACTGAGAAGGACATCCCGTATCACTGACAGCTTTCACAACAGCCGCTCGAACATTGCCATCTCTTCCGGGGATAAGTTCTTCAACCTTTCCAAGCTACCAGAAGGCTCTACTTGTCGAATCATTTTTCAACAAGACAAGGTCTCCAATTGAAATAACTTGATTAAGAATTCTCAACGCCACTGATTGGTCAGTTGTTGAAGAACATGTTTATGATGACGCGACTTCCTCGCAAGCGACTGATTTGTACTGATTAATTCATAATGAGCTGCATTAGGAGTTGACGTAATTCATCTTCCATAGATCAAATCGGACGGTGTTAAAGGGTAGGAGATCGACTCTTCATCATCGTACACATACGTGAGTGGTCTGGAATTAACAATGCCTTCGATCTCCACTAAAAAAGTTCTTAGTTCGTCAAAACTGTGAGTAGATCTCCACAAGATCTTCTTTAAAGGTTTCTTGATGCTTCTCACAAGTCGTTCCCAGAATCTCCCCCCCCCCCTGCCAAGGGGCCTTTTCGACAATAAAATTCCATGTGATTTGCTTGTTCGCAAGATATCGCCAAACTTCCTCTGCTCAGGTTATCTTTCGTATGTCTTGAGATGAATATCTGAACGTCTTGGCGTTGTCGGAAGTGATGGTAGCTGGCAGTCCACTTCGACTAGTAAACCTTCGGAAAGCAAGTGAGAAAGATTCAACACTTAGAGCTCGTGTAAGTTCCAAATGCACAGCTCGGGTGGACTATTGCTCTATGCTGGAGGGGTCATTGGAAAGGTAAAGTACATGCAAGGGAGGTCTGCACTTGTCATGAGGCACACAGGGAAGAGCACTAAAACAGGTACTCAATCAAAACAGAGAATAACATTTGGTTTTGGAATACCAATTCCAAGACCTTTTTCTTACAAAGACTTAATGCAAAATATTTCACAAATTGACATTGGGGAACTAATTTCTGTTAGAGACACCTTGTTGAGTTACTGGTGTGTACAGAGATCTAGAAACAATGCTCCTCACTCTAAGCAAATTTTATCTTGAAACAGATCCCATTAGAAAGGAGAGTGAAAAGCTGGTTTGGTTTGGTGAGAAGGGAGCTTTCAAAGTAGCGGTGGGTGGAGATGGTGCCCCATTTGGAAAATGGGATGAATCTGTGTCTTGGCTAGTGAGTTTTCTTAATGTGGGGGCAAGAGTTGCAAGCCCGAATGAAAATTTCCTCTTGTTTGGTGCTAATTGCGAAGAAGATTATCCTGCTGTTAGACTTTTTACAAAGCAGCTAGCCTCTCAAATGAAAGAAATTGAGAAGAAAGCCTATACTGTATCAGGGGTGCAAGTAACTTTTTCGCTTGAACTGGTTCCCTCTGATATGAAATTTCTTTGTTTCCTTAATGGAGAACTAAGCAATTCTGCTAGTTATTTTTCAAGCTTTGCCAATGTATCAAAGGCAGATTGCACCACATTAAATGGCAAATTTGGAAACATGCCAAATTGCAAGTGGAAACCTTGGCCATACCGACAAAGACTGGACATGGCTAAGCAGGTGTCAAAGTTCAGGGATAAAATTTCCCCCAACCTTGCAAAGTCCACCCAGAGAAGTAAAGTTATTCAGTTCATTGCAAGCAAGAAGTCAAGACAAGAATTTGAGCCTCCCATCGGTACTCTTTGTGATAAAGAGGTTGTCGAGCCCCTCCATTTGAAAAATAATGGAGTGCAACATTTGCAGTCAATGCTTTTAGACTTGGCAATTTCATCAAGTAACATCCCAGACAAAATCAGCAGTTTGTCAGATCTACCACCATCAAGTGCACTTCTCAGATACTTGAAAGCACTAGAGTCTGATGTCAAAGCTGGACGACTAAAGAAACAAATAGGGAAATGGATCC